ACCGAGTGAGGAGTGTGTGGTGAGAGTCGGGGATCGTCCCAAGAGGAGTGGCGTCGGTTGACGTATTACATTGTGAGTGTTGTAAGGTTTTCGGTGAGCTAGAAACCGAGTGTGTTGTGAGGTTTTCGGTGAGCTAGAAACCGAGTGTGGGATGAAAGTTTTCGGTGAACTAGAAAACCGATTGTGAGGAGTGACGTTGTTCGGTGAGCGTTGAAAACCGACACTGTGTGGTTGTAAACGTTATTCGGGTGAGCGTAGAAAACCATTGTGTTAGTGGATTTCTCCCCGGGAGTGGGGAGCGGAGACGTAGGACGGAAGGTCCGAACTCCGTGATCATATTGCTTGTTTGAGTGTGCTTTGGCGTTCATTCATATTTATGTTCATATCTTATATCGCCATTGTCATTAGCTCATTATCTATATCATCCACTATCTTGTTTAGATTGTTTACCCCTTGTGTTAGTTTACATATCCTATACATATATCATATTGTATATCTCTTTGATAGGATATATCATCTTGTGTTAGCTCATATATCCTTGCATATATCTCATAGTATATCTCATTGCTAGGATATTTACCTTTGTTCATTTTGCTTATTCTTGCACATAACTCTTGTATATCTATCTTGCAAGAATATACTTGTTAATTAATTTTAATTGGCATTTAATCGGATTAGATTAGCATAAGACCCTAATCACCCCCCCTCTAGGGTCTAACACCAATCACCTTATCAATCCTCTTCAATAGGATGATAAGTCCTCAAAATTTCTCTAATCATAACAAAATTTTATCATGTTAATATCACACCTCTGACAATCAACTTATCGACTCTCTTCAATAGAGCGATAGGTCCACAAACCCGTCACGTTAACATCACACCTCTGACGACCAAATCAACTTAACGACTTTCTTTAATAAAGCGATAGGCTCATAAAATACTGTTATGTTTGTTAGCCCCTAATACCACTAGGAAGGAACCCTAGAGGGGGGTGAATAGGGTTTATGCTAATCTAATCCGATTAAATATCAATTAAAAACTTATTAACAAATATCCTAGAAAATTAGATATACAACACTTAATATGCAAGGATATGAAACTAAGGGTGATATAAACACAAAGTAATATAAGCAAGATAGTGGACAATATAAACAAAGAGCAATTAACAATAGCGACAAGAATGTAATAAACACCAAGCACAAATGAAACGCCAAAGCAAACTCAAACACAAGCAAATGATCACGGAGTTCGAACCTTCAATCCTACATCTCTACTCCCCACTACCGGGGAGAAATCCACTATCACACCGGATTTTCAATGCTCACCCGAATAACGTTTACACGACATAACATCGGTTTTTAACGCTCACCGATTAACGTTCACTATCTCACAATATAACTACATAAATCCTACCTCAAGTGTTAGCCTCTCATGTGTCTCCCTCAAGTGCTCAGAATTACGACCTACCCTTTAGACATTACCACTGACCTCACTCCTCTTGGGACCGACTATGCCTCTCACCTCTACACTCCTCTTGGTGTACTTGTGCAATACAAAGTGACCTCACAAATTAGCGTTCAACAAATCAAATGATTGTTCTCTAAACAAGATGAGAACTCAATTAAGCTCAACTTAATATTACAATCTCACAACCCCAAATATACTATGTATGAAATACTATAAGCTCAATAGGTTGTGTGTGAACAAAGAGAAATAAAAACAAACTAAACTCAATATGAAAATCTAGCTTATGGAAATGAAAAATCAAACTTGTAAAATGCTAGAGATTGAGTTAGAAAACTTCTCTATAGATCAAGAGAGAGAAAGAGAGAGAGAGAGATGAGTTGAAGCTCAAACACCAAAGGATGATATCTTCTTCCTCTTGTGAAAATTTCTTCACAAAACTAAACTTGTAAAAACCCTCTTAAACAAACAAAAACACTCTTAAACTTGTTTAAAGAATTTTCTTAATTATATCAGAAGTATGAGGGCATGGGGTATATATAGACTCATGAAACAATCCCAAAAACCAAGAGAAAACATCACAAAAGGACAAAATAACAAAAACTAAAAAATATGGAAAACTAGCCGTTTACAAAAATTGAAAAATAAACTCCTTCAAAATCTAAAAATCGTAAAAAATTCTAAAATTTTAAAATTTATAACCAGTACACATCAAATCTGGAAACTATTAGTAGACCACTGAAATCTAAATTTTTTTAAGAAATAACCCAAAGGTTTAATAATAACAAAAAACGCCCTCAGAATTTTAGAGTTGTAAGAATTATCCTCATATTTTAAAAATTACCATCGATACATAAAACATAGAGTTATAACTACCAAACGTAAAAGTAAATTTTTTTAAAAACACTCCTAAAGTTTTAAAAATTATAAATCACACTCTCAAAGTTCAAAACCACAAAAAGGCCCAAATTTCAAAGCTTGGCAAAGGAAGTGTAATGTTTTGGTAGTATTTCATTAATATATTTATATTAAATTTCTAATTTATGGTTACTATCCCTTTTCAGCATCTAAAAATAGTCCGATTTGATGCTGGTAAACAAAAGTAATAAGAATTGATTAAAAATATGTGGTTAAGGAATAAAAAATTAAAAAATATACAATAGCTTAAAAATTATCGTCACCGTATAAATGAAAGTAACTGCATATAATTTTACTAAGAAGTTTGAGCAGCAAAAATACATAAATAATATTAATTTATACAAGTTTAGATCCATAAAAGTGATAAAAGACTATAATATAATAGCTTAGTATTAATTAATTATAATTTAGAATTATTAATCTTTGATGTTAATAATATTTACAGGGTAAAAGAATACAATAATTTACGTATGGAGAAACTATCAGAATGTTTAGAGATATTCTTTAAAAGAATCAAGATATTTTCATTGCAAATGAAAAAGTGATGGAAATAAATCTAAAATTTGGAAAACATCCGTGAACCACTTGAATTAATATTAGCATAAGACAAATCTATCAAATAAGCGCTGACTGAGTTCCATTAAAGAATAATTTAACAACTTTATCTTAATTAACAAAGAGTTCTTCATGAAAGATACAAGAAAAATTAGTAAGTATTCATAAATTTCATACTTTATTCTTCAAATACTAAAAAAAATATTAATATTATAATCTAAGGCAAATTGGCAATGGAAAAATATAGGTATTTAGTTCAGATCTTTGTGGAAAATAACAGGAATAGAGCAAATAGCATAACAAAAATTCTTATTAAATGCACATCAGAAGAATTCATTGTAGAGAAAAAGATGTAGCTCCTAATATTATTTAAGTAATAAATTAGGAACACAAAGAATTTCATATACATAAAATTAACATTTATTCTCATTAAAATAGGGAAAAATCAAGGTTCGTATTTCAATAAGTTTTTGTTGAATATTAGAAATACATTCAACTTCTTTGTGAAGGTAAACGAGAAAATAAAAGACTAATGAGCCCAGGAAAGATAGCAATACAAAAAATACAACTCTGGACTGATGTTATAATCGATTTAGATGATGAAGACACTACTCTAGAATTGCCCAGGAAAAAGATAAAGTTGAAGAAGGATTAACCTCAGCTCAATAAAAAAATAAAATAGAAGGAATAAAATACAATATTTTTTAAATATTTTATAGAATAATTTAATTGTTTTGAGTGAAATTTGGAATCTTTAGAATGAAGTTTCATGAACTTTTTTCAATACTTTTATATGCTTGTACGGATGCTTTTATCATATAAATATATATTAGAGTTAGCATTAATCTTTAGTTGATAATTTTTATGAAGTTTATCAATGACTAGGAACAAACTTCATATTCTCTTTTGTATTTTTTAACATAGTTTTAATCAATCATCTTGGCTTATTGGTTTTAATTATCCATTTTCATTGTATAACATTATTTTAATATTTTTTACTTTTGCGACATTGTACTTCCTCAAATAAAGCTTGGTTTCATGTCAGTCCAAATAATATAAAAATTCAAATTGCCTTCTGATTATATTTGTTTTCTATCAATTCAATTATCAAGATGAAAATTTAAATTGAGTGTAGCCCATTTAAACAAACATAAAAATAAATAAATAATCGCGGTGTCAACGTTTAGAGACAAAAGTGAGCATAAACTATTAAAGTTGAACCGAGAAACAAAATTTAGTTAAGAAATAAGGCAAGCATACTTTAACCATAGTATTTAACCACGTGCATTGCACGTGTATAAAACCTAGTATATGTGGTTAACGGTTGCGGAACATCCATCTTGAAGTAGGCTCTCTCTCTCTCTGGACCTACATTTGCGTTCTTCTCATCTCATTGCCTCCGGGATTTCGATTCCACCCCACGTTCAGAGATAAGGGAGCGGAGAAGGAGAAGAAGTGAGCAGGGAATGAAGATATTGAAGAAGAAATAATCATCTTCTCCTTTGATGATTTCTTTTTTGTTAACGACGTCTTATTTTTAGCATGCTAGAGTTCCTGCAATATTTTTTTTTTTTGCTTAAAATTAGCAATTATGTATAAGAATGATGATGGTATTATCAAAGGATTATGTAAGTTGTTCGTTAGTTCTTTAATTTGTAGGTTTTACTATTTTCTTCACTTTCTCTTGGGCTAAAGAAAATAATTATGTTGTTTACGGTTTGTTCTTTCTTCTTCGTCCTGCTCAAATAGGTTGACATAATGAGATTAATCTTTAATCTGCAACGTGATGGTGATAAACAAGAAAACCCATTCTTGTGCTGAAGAATATTTTTGAGAAAATTTATTAGGGTTGATAAGTTTGAAAGGTTGGTTTCGGATTTATAGAACAACCAAACTGTATACAACACTAAAATCTCTATTAATATTGCCAATAAAATTACTATCGCACGAGCACAATCGCCAACTTTTAAATCGCTACCAATACCCAATAGATAATAAATTTCCAGCCTGAAAACCAATTTCACAGGCGCGACGGAAAAACATCAACCTCAAAAGCTTCCACAACTTAAGAAAAGACGTTCTGTATATAACGAAAATCAAAATATGAAGTGCTAAGATCCCGAGTTTTATACATAGCATTATAAACATCATATAGATCAACATATGCTGCAAGAGATTGGTCTTTTTAGTCCATTATCTATCGAACAATAACCACCACAAGACAAATTAAAACTGGATGAGAGCCAAAGGGGCGGTCGATCTTAGGCTTTTCTTTCTCAAACTACTGGTCGTTCTCAAACTCATGCATATGATCCAAAAGGTAGTTTGCTGTCATCTCTTCGTTCTTGTTGCAGGCAAAGAAAACTTGCAGTACAAGAGCTCGAGCAAATCCCATGGCCTCAAGCTGCAACATCACATGCAATTAAAAAGAAATTAGCCTCTATATTAAGCATCCAATTCAACAACAATGTGCTCCAAACAAAGAGATGTATACAGAATACACTAGAGCTCCTGTCAAGAAGCCACTATGTTTGCAAATAAATTAACTAATTATTCAGTGTCAATTTTATCGAACATCCTACTTATGTGCAAGAATACCACAATGAAAAAAGCAAACATCTTGAAAATTAAAACAAGTTCTGAATTTGAAAAGCATAACAGTTGACTAAATATTACAGCAAGAACCATGAAAGTTGATAAAGATTTTAAGAAAAGATCAACTTACGCAAAACAGATATACTACTTACAATACTCACTGAACCTCATATAATACCCTATCCTTCCTGCCTCTGTCTCAAACAGCAAAAAACACTCCCTAAGTTCTTGCAGCAGTAAGAATGATAAAGTGTTCACCTGTGGCTGTGGGCAGCCACAGTGGCAACATGAGAGGGTTTCCCACAAATGGTGATCTAGACTTGCAGCTCGAGTACTTCCCTCACAACAGATTATCAGTCTCCTCCACTACCTCAACAGCCTTTTCTTTTTCTTCTTCCTTCTTCCCCTTCCTCCTCGTTCTTCAATCATAGTTAGACTGATCCCTCCTCATTCTCTCTTTCTATATTTTAATATTTGATTCTTATGTGCTAGTTTTATTTTATGGTTGATTCAATCTCTATTACATTGTCTTAAATGCTGAATGTTGACTTGCTCAGGATGCTAGTTAGAGTTAATCGAATTTGCTGAAGATTCTGTCTATTACTAAAAGATGCAAAGAGATCAAGGACTTAACACCAAACCACAGATATAAATTGTGGTTGTGAAGAATGGATTTCCCTTCTAGAATTATTATCTTTCTAGTTACTGAGATAATGCATATCCTTAAGACCTTAACTAGTTGACATACTAGACAGTTTATTCCTTTCTAAAACCAAAAACAGATCTTTCTAGAACTCATACGCATGTGCATCCAAAATCGACAAGAACTACATGATAACATCCTTTCTTCTCTCTTGGCCGGTCAGTTGGTAAGATAGATCTTTATTACAACTGTGGAGAAAAGCTGAATCACCTCACGAGGATGTGTTATCCATACATATTAACTTCTATTTGTTCTATAGATAAAGGACTTAATAAAGGAAATGATGCAAATAGCTTACTCGTTCAATTGCTTCACGCTCCTCAGGAGTCACTGTCAAAGTTTGGGGCATTGCAGCTGCTAGCTGGCTTAGAGGGTTGCTGATCAAATACAATGGACAGATAACAACTTAAAATCATCCAAACCAAACATGCAAGAGATACAACATTTTAGTACCCTTACCTCTCTCCCCCCTCTGCTCCTGACTCATTCATTAAACGAAGAAATTCCTCTTGATGTTCCTGAATAAGCCTCATGACTTGAGGATTTTGTTTGCCTAGTTCCTGAAGCATTGGCTGCACACAGGAATACCAAAGTTGGTGATAGGCTTCAGATTCCAAAGCAAATTTCATAGTGTAAAAAAACAACAAAAAAGTTAATAAATAAAAATTTTAAAAAAAAATTAAAAAAAAATTAAAAAACCTGGAGAACTTGAGGGTTTGCCTGCACCATGGCCTGTAGGGCCCGGAACTGCAAAATATTAAACAAATAGGATCATACACTGTACTAGCAATATCTCATCTTCATATCTTCCTCTATTATTTACACAGTACCTGTGGATTGTTACGAAGAAAGTCAAGGTTGCCTGCACCAGCATTGGAGCCCATGCTAGGTAGACCCTGTCAAATGTAAGTATTAAATAAGATAGCATGCAAAACGTAATAAGGATATCATTGGATACAACTATAAATAGTTCAGTGAGTCTACTTGAGGAAAGAGATCCAATGGATTAGCATTGGGTCCGCTAGAAGGCACAGGTTGCGCTGTTTGTGGGGCTTGGACTGGGGAATTCGTTGTTTGACCACCCGTAGGCACCTGGGCTAATGGAACTTCTGCTTGCTCGGGAATTCCCTGGTGCAAAAATGACATAACTCAAGAATCTACGTTGATAGTTTATAGGGAGTGCGGACAGATGTCAAATATTGTAGTATGTTTTACATAAAGTGAATTTAACTCTTTAAGATGGGTTAATTGCTCATGGATCCCCTGTAGTATCGTTATTTTGCACTTACTCACCCTGCAGTTTTATTATTGCAGATAGGCTCCTTGTTTTTTTTTAACTCTTCATACCGTAAGACAGACTCATTACTTTCACCCAAGGCAAACCAAAGAAATTTCACCAAGGGCAAAAGAGACTGCAAGTTTTAACTAGGGATATATCTGCAAGAATTGAAACTAAGTGGTAGTAAATGCAAAACAACGAGAGTACTGTGCACTAAACCGTCTGCACTGATATTGAGAGACTTGAGGATGGGGAATACTTAAAGAAATAAATATGTGACATCTGTATCAAAGCAATGAAACTTACAGAATATAAGTATTCAACAGCTCTCTCAGGATTATTATATGCAGCACGTAATGCACGAAGAACAGTATCCCTGTCCCAAGTTCCTCCGCCCATGTCAAGAATATGTTGGATAGTTTGTTCCAAGTTGCTTCCTGCAACAAGGTTTGATGCTGCCTGACCATAGGAATCTGTTTCAGTGCTGTTTCAGAAAGGATAATGTTAAAGACAAATTAGACGTAGTTAATAAGCAATACTCCCCCAAAATAAAAAAAACAACTAAATAAAGTAACATTAAAAGTATTTTTAGCTAGCCACACTGACCAGAAAACATACTAAAACAATACAAACAAAACTAATTTCACTTTCTATTTAAATTTAAAAAAAATAAGATTAGGAAGCCTGGAAAAATGAATCCAACAGAAGTGTGGAAAATGCGAGAGGCACAAAGTAAACTTGATGAAGACAAGAATGTTGCGGAGAAACCCGGCACTCTCGGACAATAATGTCCAGTACATCCCTAAGCATATTGGCCATGTAATATATAGCTGTTTCGCTAAATAATATCCATGTATCACCTTATTTCCAAATATATAACAGAAAGCACAACAATATTCATTAAAGACTAGTCCAGCAATATCAACAGCATAAAGGCTGAATGAAGAAAAGAAAATTACAGTAAGTAACAAACTGAAGCACAAAAAGATTTGATTTACAGATGTATCTACCTATCCATAAAATATTCTTAAACAAAAAGAAATAAGCAACTTATAGGAATAATAACATCTAAAATAGGCCTGGCAAGCCACTTTCTACCACCATACAAGTATTTTTGGTCAATATACAAGTAAACAATAGTAAACTTGATATTTGTAACAAACCAATAACATGGTTAAAAATAATTATACAATCACATATTTTAATGACAGATCGACTGACATCAAACAACATCACTTGAATATGCTTCCTTTGAAAAGGTATTGAAAAAATCATATCCTGCAGAAGATCCATAATACTTAAAGAGTGGTTTGAACATTGCAGAACTGTTTAGTTATATTTGAAAGTTAGAAACTGGAACAGCTACAAGTTATTGTTACCATCTTCTTAATCACTGTTCTGAATCTTAATAAACATAAATCTGAACAATCGTTCAAACTGATTGCAGAATATGCAGTTTGAACATTTTACCAAAGATAATCATATTAACTTTGTCATTCCAATATCAATGGCACAACATTTAATCATGTCCCTGTGGTTAACAGTTCAGTTTGTATAAACACATCAAGTATCATACTGATTAACATGGAGTGTTAAAGCTAGTATCAAAAAAATGCAATAATTCTTACGCTGCAGCGACTGCAGAAGATGGTGCAGACGCGGCAGTCGGAGGAAGGGTGATTGTAGAAGGCCTGCATAACATGAACAGAAAAATAAAGGATATTGTGCAGTAAGATAGATGCACACAGAAGTCAGGCATAAGTGATAAAATATTATTTAGCGTGAACTCGATTTAACTTACTGAACCAACGGTGTGGCTGGGGCTGCAACTGGAGGGGTGGAAGACACAGAACCAGCAGGTGCCTACATAGAAGCAACTGTAATGAATTCCATGCAGAATAATAATTCAATTCAAGTTATGTCAAGTAAATGACATTGCACTAAACATCTACAATCTGCTAGTTATGTATTGCACACGAATCATTAATATGTTATAAGATTCATAAGAAAGCATAGTTTATATTGATGAATTATTTATATCAGATCCACTTGGCACTGAATTTTTTAACACAAATATTGAATGCATATTAATCTTGGCAAGATAAACAACTAAGCAAATGCAATGTTGAAGAGGGTAATCCTAACAAAGTACACTTCTAACCTGACTGGTTGGTGCTGTAGTGGCAGCGGCTGAAGCTCCACTTGAAGATGCCTTCATCTGGAAAATGGTGAAGCATGTAAAATTAAGCCTGCTTTTAACCGATCTTAGACAAATAAACTATGCACTATTAAGCTTCCAATCATATTAATATAGTCATCAATCAATACAGGATACTTCGGCCAATGAACTCCTGGACCAACATAACTAGACAATATTTGTAACAGTTATAAAAACATATCCAAGCAAAAGGAATAAAAGAAAATTAAACCTTACGTGAAGGCTTTTAACCGAAAAACAGTCTACAATGAATTTCTAGTCCACACTAAAAAATTTCAAGTAAATTTCCAATATATTGAATATATTATAAAAGAGAGTTAAAAGAAAGATTCTCATGTTCATCTTTGGTTCATTAGCTCAACCTCACTAACAAGATAGTTTCTCCTATTTTCTAAATTACCCTATTAGGTTATACCACTAGCCCCTAAACTACTCGTGTTCTATTAACTATGAATTTTATACCAGCTCAAATGTCCCAAGTCTTCGCATTTACAAAAGATCACAAACCCTCATCAATTTTACATGCAATAACTACCCATTTGTAGTTTATGCTCCAAAATCAAAAACTCCATTAGTACTTAATCAAGAAGCATAGTAAACAGGCAATCAAACTCGCATAATTAATGAGACGGGTACCAATTTCGTTAACAGTCATGTAACACAAGACTCTTGCTAAATTGATATCACACGATTCTACTCACAAATCAAGAGAAAGTATACCTTTTTCAACATGATGACAATAAATTTATCCTCGGCCACGTTGTTATCATTAATAGTGCTACTATCATTAAGAACTTTCCCTTGGTAAATAAGCATCTGCTCCTCTGAAGGGTACAAACTCTTCCCTTGACTACTCTCTATCTTCTTCTTCACATCGGCGACCTAAAAATTAGCAATTTCAACTGAATCAGATCAAAAAACCCTAACCACCCTAAGACGATAAAATATGAGGAAATTGAGAGAGATTAATTACAGTGTCGTCGGGGTTGACTTGTATCTCGAACTGGCTGTTCTTCAATGTCTTGATGAAGATCCTCATCTTGATTGATTCTCTTTGACTTCGAATTTCCTAGGGTTTTAGGGTTTGTGGAAGAAAAGGGGAAAGAAATCGACGAGATTGGAGAATATACGATGAGACAAAAGAGGGGTAAATATTTATAGATGTAGGGAATTACTTCGGGATAAAAGGTTTCCTCGCTCCGTAATTGACTTCAATTTGGACCTCTATTGAGTTGTTCCCGTTCAGCGAACAGCACAAGTGGCCAGTTAAACTATCCCACGTGTACCTTATTTACTATAATTTATGATTCTTAAATTATTTATTTAAAAATATGTTTTTTTTATTGGATGAATAATTGATTTCAAATAGCCTTTATAATTTCATTAGTCGAAATTATTTCTTTATAGTTGTGTTGTATAAATTCGTGCTCTAAACATTTCATCTGAAAATTAGGTCCGAGATTCTTAAGTCTCTCGAGAAAAGTGTAAAATTTAAAATACGAAAATAAGAATGGAGTGAAGTAGATATAACAACATAAATGATAAGGGCTTAAACTCTAAATGAATATTTATAAGTAAATGAATTTAATATACGAATGCTAAAAAGAATTTAACCTTTTAATTTTTTGGACACTTTAGTTTTTTATATTTTATATATAAACTGGCCCCACAATGAAAATGCTATTATGTTTCTCATTCTTTGTACGTCTCTTGACTGGAGGAATTAATTTGAAGTAAGTTGAAAAATTAGAAGAATTTGAATGATTTGAATGACTTATGACTGAATATTTTTAAGCATGTAGAGGCATTTCCACTCAATTAGTATAATGCACGTGCTTGTTGTTGCATTTAATATTATATTATTTAATGCATTATATATAACAATTAAAAGTTATTTTATTGCACTATGATTAAAAATTTTTAACTTATACTATTATTAGTACTTATACTATTATTGTCATACATTTAATAGTAATTTAAAATTTTCTATTATTATTTATTAAACAATTTAATTAGAAGTATAATTATTAATTAATAATGTAATCATTAGTTTAAGTAACACTATTGATATAATTAAACCATTTAAATTATTAAATATTTAATAATGTAATCATTAGTTTAAGTAACACTATTGATATAATTAAACCATTTAAATTATTAAATATTTATGTTATGTACATATTTTATTACAATATCTACTATTGATATAATTAAACCATTTAAATTATTAAATATTTATGTTATGTACATATTTTATTACAATATCTATTAAATAATGGCAATAATCGTTAATATTATATGGCCTTATGTTGTAAAAAATATTACATTGTTCGATAATTAGTATCGTCTTAGTAATAAAAAATCGGATGGTATAAATTAAAAGTACTATTATTTAGAAAAAGTACTTTATATAAAAATATTGGATCCTTGAAATATATGAGACATTTACTTTCCAACAAAAAGTGCATGACTAATAAATTTCAAAGATCAAATATTATTATATAAAGTAATTTTCTTAAATAAAAGTATTTTTAACTCATAATGTCTAATTTTTATGACTAAGACGATATTATAATATCGAAAAGGGTAATAATCGCTATAATATAAAAAATCAATCCCTATTTATACTATTATTAATAATTATAATTATGTATAATATTTTATTAAGTAAAAATTTTGCTATTTCGTTACAATTAATAATTCTTTTATAATAAATTATAATATATTTATTAATTTTATTATTATTATAAATTATTAGTATATTCTAGCGAGTGGTCAAATATTTTGAGAAAAAGAATAGAAAAATATATGTCTCACAAATTTCAAGGATCCTAATTTTTTATACAAATCAATCTTCCAAATAAAAAGTATTTTTAATTTATAACATTCAAATTTTTATTACTAAGATGATATTAATTATTGAATAATGTAATATTCTTTACAACATAAAGAAATAACCCCTATTTATACTATTATTAATAATTATAATTATGTGCATAAAGAAATAACCCCTATTTATACTATTATTAATAATTATAATTATGTGCAATAATTTATTAAATGAATGACTTTTACTTTTATACTATTATTAATAATTATAATTATGTGCAATAATTTATTAAATGAATGACTTTTACTATTTTATACAATTAATAATTCTTTATAACAAATTATCATATATTCATGAATTTTTTTATCATTATAAATTATTAATTATTAATATATTCTAGTGAATGCCCAAATAATTTGAGAAAATAAAAAGATCCATAGTTAATGAGAGGTTATGGATCATCAATTTTATAATTAATGTATAATTTTGAGTTATAAAAAACTGATAGGGTAAAAAAGAAAACCAAAAGTTTTGACAATGGTATTCTCTTTTATAATATACTAGTATAGTGCATGTGCTTTGCACGAGAGCGTACTTTTTTTTTGTTGGTTGAAAAATAATAAAATGACTTGCATAGTAATATAAATTATGAACAATTATAATTTTGTTTAAGTGAAAAAATTATATGATAAAACTATGTATAAAGAACTGTATGATTAATTATTATAGTTTGGATAATTATTATTTATTCATAATTTGTTAAAATAATTATCATATATTAAATAAACTATGAATAAAAAAGTGTATGACTAATTATTATAGTTTGGATAATTATTATTTATTCATAATTTATTAAAATAATTATCATATATTAAATAAACTATGTTTAAAAAATTATATGAATAATTATTATAGTTTGGATATTTGTTATAATTTATTCATAATTTATTAAAATAATTATCATATATTAAATAATTTCTTCTCTTTTAAATATAATAATATTATACATAGCATACTTATAATACTATTAGTAACTACACTTTAATTTAATAATTAGTTTATTATACTAATAATTTACTAAATTGTTTAATTATTAAATTATAGTATAATTTATTAAATTAAAAAACACTATTAATATCATTATACTATTAATCCTATGACAATCACAGTTAATAAAAATTATTTTTTATACTATATCATACTTTTAAAAGGCTAGTAAGATGAAAGGTAACATGTAGTCCTTTATAAGAGATGAAATCCTAAGGCGCGCACAAAGCATAAGCCTAATGAATTTTTCTTATTTTTAATTGTTTTAGAATTTTAAATACTATGTGAAGATAATTAGGGATAAATTTTAAATTTTCTATGAAATAACATACTTAAATAATAAATTTCAAAAATGTAAGAAAATGTATAATTAATAAGAGGTGAAATATAATTAGTGAATGATTAATTACAACCAATGGTATATTTGAGAATTATCAAACCTAAAAGAGTGAAAATGAAAATCAAAACTTTTGACAGAGCAATCCTCTTTTATATGTAGTATATAGATATAGATAACATAATAGAAATAATAATATAATAATATAACATAATATAATATAAGTAGTATAGATTATGAAAAACTTTTATTTGTGAACGATTGCTTGACCTAGATATAGGGGTTAAAATAAATTGAGATAACAACCATGAATGGTCTTAACTCATTAGGTGTAAGTTTGGGTATGAGTGAAACAAAAGAGGATATTGGTTTCGTTTTTCTTTTTGGGTGTGGGAATATAACTTTATAACAATCTTCAATCTTAGTGTTATTTATATCTTAAGAGGGGGTTGAGAGACTTACAGTTAAGGCATTAAAAAGCTTAAAGTATTGTATTTTCTCATCTAAATGTGTGTGAAAAGTTGCAACGACCATTATATCTCAAAACTGTTGCTTTTCTGTAGAGAAGCTTAGTTTCTTGTAAGCCTCAATTGCACTATCCAAGATTCTGAAAAGGCTGCACCTGTATCTTCACTAAAATATGGAAACTCTAGATTTTATTAGAGGAGATATCAGTGTGTTTTTCAATAAGCTATTTCTAACTTGATCTCTTGTTGCTATTATTATTGCAGGAAAAAAAATACGATTAAAAATAGATCTAGACATGAGCAAAACAAATTGTGCGAGAATAAAGACATAGAGCAGAGAGTTATAATCACAATAACTGGAAATTTAAAAGAAGAAATTCTTTATAGTAATGTCAAATTGCCCTTTGAACAGACGACTAGCCTTGGAGAAATTATGCCCTACCTACGATAGCGCTAAGGGGGGTTATTCATTGGTGTAATTTGGGGCAAGTTGGGTTAAATTGTTCCAATGTGGTAATTTTACCCAATGAGATAATTTGAGTGAGATAAAGTGAGATAATGAGATAATTTGAGTGAGACAATTGGTATGATATCTTTTTATAATATAATATTTACGGATCAATTAAGTTCAAGTTTAACTTGATATTACATCAAATGATTAAATAAATAATAATAATAATAATATATAACAATATTTTTTTAAAATTATTTTAATATAAAATATAAAAAAGATATAATAATATTATTGGAATCCAACATCTTTTTGCTTTTGATGTCAGAAGCAATTCTTTGGACTCTTCCCTATAGTGCAGCAAGCTTTTCATGAAGCTTGCTTGGATATTTGTTAACAGCTCGAACACCATTCTTACTGGAATTCTCAAAAACTTTGATGCAACTTTTTCCTTCTCTATTACTATTTCCAGTAATCTCATCTAATACTGGAATTCTCAAAAACTTTGATGCAACTTTTTCCTTCTCTATTACTATTTCCAGTAATCTCATCTAAATTAAACATCAGTGATGGGTTTATCACAACTTTTTCCTTCTCTATTACTATTTCCAGTAATCTCATCTAAATTAAACATCAGTGATGGGTTTATCAGATGCATTCGCTTTGTTTATTTCATCAGGAGCTCTAATAACATCACAAGCTTTCAGATCAGAGGATTTGGGAGCAATTTCTTTTGAAACCCTAGAATCTTTTCCGTCAGGTTTCCACAAATCAATATCCAAACTGGCCCTCCTCAACAAATTAGGTTTCAAATTCGCATCTTTCCCCTTCTTATCCAAAACACGAACTTTAGGACCCACATATTTAACCTCCAATGATCCTCAAGCTCTGGGGTTTAGATACGAGGGGTTTAGGATTCCGACGATGTACCCCCATCGGACGGCGGGAACAACCACATGATTCCGACGTGGGGCGGAGGAAGCTCTAGGATTCCGCCTCAACGGAGACT